TTGCTTCAAACACTAATGAACTTTCTGATTCTCTTACAGATCGTTCTGATGAGCATGAAACAAACACTGAACCTGACGATCCGACGTTGGGAAGATCCGAACGATTGAGATTCCAACCTATTAGAGACCATAAACACCCGCACGCTCATTCAATGTGTGGTGGATGTGGTGAACATTTACTCTATTCTATTCATTCTGTTTAGTGTATTTTTATATGCCTTTGTTTTACGATGCGATTGATAGTACGCCCGCCATATTCGAGAATACGCGATATTCATTCGTCCATATTCGGACTTCTATGCTACGCGGACATTCGGTAGTTAAGATACCTACCACTATTCTAATTAACACAGACATTCTGCATTGACCCAGAATAGAACAGACTGCTGTTTTCAAACTATTTAGATAGATGGATATTCAAATGTGCACCAGAATGTGGATTTTATAGGTTCACTGACCATACACGGATATGGTTGTTCCATTTCCTACCATCGACATTAAGAGACCGCTGAAGGCGGTTTACGGGCTCAATTGAAACGCTGTTTTTATAGTACACTAGGAGAGTTTATATAAAAGAGAATCTTCTAAGCTCAGGTTGTTCTGTTTTTGGACAAATTTTTCAGTGTGCTTTTTGTAGACGTTTAGAGATGCATGCAGCAGAAATGAAGAATATCTTCACCAACGATCCCTTTGGGGAGATCGCGTTGCTCACGAAGCAAGCCTAAAATCCCAATGAGCATTAAGACTGACGTTTTCAACTACACGGCTACACTTGTTGCTGGCTACGAGGGGGAAAACACTTCAACGATCTGAGACGTGATCCACTAGCTGATTCCACATCACACGTTACATATCATTTCACCCGCAAGTGCTGTGACAACCAACTATGGGGAAGTGAGTAATCTCTGCGTCGAGAAAATCGCGGACGTTTGCCGCCAAGATTATTTAAGTCAGCAGCACGAAACACTAACCTAGAACGGAACAAAAACGACCATTTAGTGGCCTTTTTGAGAGCAGGATATCTGATCTGCGATCCTGATCTAGATATTTTATTCAAAATACTGAGGGGTCAAATGTAATCAGTACGTTAAGCGATCGGTGAAGCAATATTGAGTTGAGTTAAAGGGAGGAATTACGGTTCTGTCGGAATGCAAGACATTAGGCTGATGTAAATATCTGTATCGTTTGTATACACATGGAAATGGAAAAACAGTTCTTCTACCAGGAAAATTCACCAGAAACTCCCAAAAAGGTGGTTTGCATATCTGTATTAAATCCAAGAACAGAATGTTCGCGATTTTCTCAAAAGCTCTCTGTTTCGCAGACTAAGGAATTTTTAAATTTTTGTGCGACAACTTGTTTTCAGCCAAAAATCTTAGGAGAGTTACTACCCATACTGAAGTTAATTTCTTGACTAGCCGTTTTGTGTGTTTGACAAAATCACTCCTTTACTGGAAGACGGTGAAATCAACCCGGATCCAGTTGGCTAGTTTTGCATTCCTGTGGCCGTTAGATAAGCCAGTCTAATGAATGGAATGGAAGTGCTCGGATGAATACCTCGGAGCACGGAGCTCATGAAATTCCCGGACCAAGTCTTCATAACTGATGCCCTGCTGAAGTATATCAGAAGCATGAGGATTGTCTTCAGAAATAAACAATGCATAAAACCCACAGCTGGTTACTGGGCCAAAACTTGGTGGACTGAAATGCAGGATCCAAGAGTCGCTCAATACTCAAGAAAATAAGGAGTGACTGCCAGGTGTTTACTTTGCTTCTGTGGACAAAACCTCACTGGACAATCGGTGCTTGGCGTACTGATTTTAGTAGCGAACACGCTGTGCTCACTAGCTTCTTCGGATGCATCGACTCTTCGCTATTTTTGGAGGTCGCCAGCTGCATTTGTGGTTCACCCATTAGTAGCGCAAAGCAGCGTTGGTGTCTCGATTACAGGATGAGTGCACAAATACCACATGCAGGAAAGTGTTGGTAGCTCAGGTAGGGTAGAAGGTCGTTAGCTTGTCCGCAAAGCTGAGCAATTTGAGTGCTACCGTTTCACAACCAATGCGTTGGGAAGCGCACTAATGATGTCACCTCGATTGGTGATGACACGTTTTCAACTAAATTGCCCAGCTCAGCGAACAAGCCAACAACCATCTACCCTAACTGAGCTACCAACATTTTCCTGCATAGAAAACCGATTCCGGCGTACGACGATCAAGAAGGCTCGTCGCTGGGAAAACTTCGCTGCCGACAAGGTTCTACACGCGAACAATTACACTTCCTCGATGAATGTCTACGTAGGAACGTGCCGCCAACCGGTACTAATCGCAGACTGGCACCCAATCATCTGCAGTTGTGTGCCCTATCAAGACAGTATGGAAGACGAATTGTGAAGTTAATGAGAACAGATGTGGATTATTGTCTCAAAAAATACGAGACAGTACTCACCGAGAGCAAAGCAAATTGTCTGGCTAAAACCGTCCACATCACTTAGCAGAGCTTGAGGCAGCAACCTGACGCTGAGCAGACAATGTCAAGGTCAAACCTAGAACAGCCATGGAAACAAAGTTGCGCAAGCTCATGAGAGAAGATGGACACAACAGTTAAGACCCTTGAATCGAGAACTTATCTGGCTACCAACACAACACTGCCGAACAGGAACTGCTAACGAAGGTGCTCAACTTCAAAGTCAAGGACACATCTTAGAATGGTCAACTAGCTGGCTTAGAGTACACCCTGAAAAAAAGGATTGTCCGATGAGGTACAACAATAGACCAGACAGACAATCGTCGTGGGATCACACGGAATAGAAACATGCAACTGATTTCCAAACAAGAACCAGAAGCACTCACAAATTTACGAAAGGATGATACAATCGTTATACTAGCGGTACACAAAGGATGCATCGCGGTACTAATGGACAAGCCAAATTACACTGAAAAAAGTCAAACAAATGCCAAGTGACCGCACGACCTACGAACTAATCAATCATGATCCAAATTCAAGCGTCATTAATCGAATCAACACTACACGTAAGGAACTGCAAGCTTCACAAGAGCTAACCGGACCGGGACGACGGAAAATGAAAGCCGATGATACCAACATCGCACAATTCTGCGGACAGTTTAGAACATGATGAAGTTATGCTTTCATTTGAGGTCACAACACTGTTCACTTCAATCAACCCCAACCTCGCACGGGAAACCGTAGGAGAACTGCTTCGGGATAATCCAAACACAACAGAAGCCATGAAACCTGAAAGTGTATGCAAGCTGTTGAACTTTTGCTTGAATAAATACTTTATCTTCGATGGACAAGCGGACAGTTTAGAACATGATGAAGTTATGCTTTCATTTGAGGTCACAACACTGTTCACTTCAATCAACCCCAACCTCGCACGGGAAACCGTAGGAGAACTGCTTCGGGATAATCCAAACACAACAGAAGCCATGAAACCTGAAAGTGTATGCAAGCTGTTGAACTTTTGCTTGAATAAATACTTTATCTTCGATGGACAAATATATCAACAGCTGAAAAGAACTCCAATAGGATCCCCAATATCATGATTATTGCTAAGGCAGCAATGCAAAGTTAAGAGCGTGCAGTACTGGCGATCAGCATTCCAAAGCTGTGGATCCGCTAGGTGGACAACACCCTCATAATCCTGAAGCGGGATTCACTGCGCGATACACTTGGACTGCTCAACACCACGCTTGAAGATATCAAGCCTTCAATCGAAACGAAAAGAAACAGTTGGCCACCATTCTTAGACGCTTTGGTGAACAGAAAGGTGGATGGGACGCTGGAAACCTGCGTATACCTGAAAGAGACTTATACTGATCAAATATTGAAATACGACAGCAATAATCCAGTAAACCACAAAAGTAGCCGCGTCCAAACCCTGTTTAAGAGGGCGGAGACACACTGCAGCGCCACGGAACTTCGGAAGAAAGAGGAAAGCCATCTATTCAGTGTTCCAGAACAATGGATATTCAAGGAATTGGATCAAGAGATGCTTGAAGAAGACATCTCAACAACAGCAGCAGGAAGAACAAGTCACCAGACAGGTGGTCCTACCTTACATCAAGAATATATTGGAACTCGCAACCGGATTACTGTGCCGAAAAGGAATCTTCGTAGCCCACAACCCGAATGCCACCCTAGGGAAATCAATCCTCAGCCGAAGTACAACCGGGACAAAGTCAAGAGGAACGATGTGTTGTACCACATCAACTGCAACAACTGCACCAAATTCTCTGTTAGACAAACTGGGAAGTGATTATGCAAACGAATAAAGGAACACAACACAGCCATCAGGAGGCATGACATCTTGTCTTTAATATATATACACAAGGACCGGATAGGCTACCAATTCAATCTGGAAACGATAAAATTTGGGCATACAGAGGCACGAGACGCGGAAGAGAATTTCGGGAAGAATGGTACTGCATAGCAGATTCGATCAACCGGTGCATCTAACTGAATCCGCTTTACGCACCATTACGTGCAAAAGACCAACATCTCAACGGAAATACTCAAGGGTGACTGAATATTGTGTTCACAACTGAAGAAACAAGGAACTCCTTGGACTCGAATCAATAACGGTCAGAAGCCGGGACTCGGAAGGACAAAGGTCACTCCAACAATGACCGAATTACGACGGCGGGGGATGCCAAGCTCGAAGGTCACGTGGGCATCGGCGAACGAAGTCACGCGATAACAGAGAAACCAATGGGACCGCCCGACCGAACAACTAATTGCGATCAAATATCATCCCCGCCTAGCAGCACGTGTAATAACACACACACTACTCAGCGCACATCCAATAAACCATGACTACGCACCAGTACGCTCTTTATTAACGTACTGATGATGTCACCTTGACTGGTGATGAAACGTTTGCAATCAAATCGCTGAGCCCACGGAACAAGCGGACGACCAAATACCATACAGATTTCCTTCAGATATTGATTTAATACGGTAAAGGGGGATTCTCGATCGGAGAGAATATGCAAAGAAATGAAACATTTTGATGAAAAAGGTTTTACTTCACTCGGAAGGATTTTTCAGAAAAGTGTAAGGTGCGTCCAAGCTGCGGGTTTGCGCTGAGCCTCTAATGATCGGCCTTTCTACACGTGCCATTGGGAGGGCTCCTTAGCCGCAAAACGCTCTCAGCTACAAAACCACTGAGAACGGAATAAAACGTTTTCATTTTGCTGCGTAAGTGCTCGAACCAAAAACCACCCCAATCTACACGCGTAATTTTCCAGCCCACAAATTTCGTTTTCCACCCTGGCAATCGTCACTGGTGGAAAAAATTTCGGAGGAATACGTTCTTAGCATCACTAAGATCCTGGAATGCAGAGATGGGACTTTAAAATACGGACTTTGATTCCGAACTCAATTTTCTGTCCGTTGTAGTCCAACAGGGACATGTCGTTGCTTTCGAATATCCAAATTTATTGTGCGAATACTGATCCCTACTAAAAAGAAGAATCCAGGGGATTCTGAGTCATGATTGGGTATTATGCAGACTCTTTCGACCAATGAGGGCTGCATTCGATACTGAAGCGGCAGGCTGCTAGATCCTTTACCCATTCACGTGCGAAGTAGGCTGTTTGGCCGTAATAGCGCCCATTTGCGGGCTGTAAAGCACTTCTATTGCACGATTCCGCCCAACACATACCAAAACTAATAGGATTCCTGTATTATCGGCACTTTTGGATATGCCGTTGTCATAGAAACACTTCGACGTAACTTTTCCTGAACTGGAATACTGCGTTAAATTTCACTAAGCTTAGGCTAGCTCATAGGTTTATGCTCGAACGTGCTGACTAGATGTTCCGTGTTTCGAACCCGTCTGGGCATGGACGACCTGGCAGTATCTCAGCGTTGATGCTTCCTTTTGGTGGTATGGGAGGCAAGGACCGATAAGTTCAGTTTGAAAACAACGGAATGTGTACGTATGTCCTGTTGTTCTATGTGACAGCGTACAGTGTAGCTCCTGGGAGGGCGGTGGTCACGTAAATAAATAAAAGCCAGATAATGGTGGCGAGATGGCCCAAGATAGAAAAGACGACAAAATCCAGGCATGTAAAATAGGACTCTCCGCCTTTAGCTACGATATCAGCCACAGACCCGAAAAGGAAAATCCGGTGGCCGAGGCCTTATATATTTTTCCAGAGATGTATAAGCTCATTCACCGAGCAAGACGCACTGACAATGTGATCCTTGCGGGCCATATGAATCCCGTAGCCCAGTCATCCGAGATTCTTGGGATCATATCTGGGCGGTTTACTTGGAGTCCATGCTCGTCACACAGACAACAGAGCGACTACTCTAATTGTGTTATCATCACCAGCCGCTTCTGGCCCGTACGAACTTACAGCATAAACGTTCCCATCGCATAACCTGACGGTCACCAGCTACAAATCAACCGTGGACCCAGTTGGATCACGTGGACAAGCACACTGATCTCGTGATAGAAGCATGATATCCATTTCTAGCAATAAGCAAGCATGCCAAAAACTCGTTGAGATTCAGTGTCATGTGAATGGGGGAGTTGACGAATAGTGTGCATTCTTTCAGGATCTGGTTTGATAACTCCTTCAGAGAGTTCTTAACCGATTAGAGAACTGGCAGCTGACCCAACAACGTTCGTTTCGTGGTGGAAAGAGGTTAGGGAGGGACGTCGAACAACTTTGACATCAAATGATATTTCACGGTCATCCAGACCGAGAAGCGGATTCGGTAAGGTACCCCACCCTGAGCCTTTTACTCAAAGTTCTGATCCGTAGGGGAGCGGGGATTCAGGTTCCGTTCAGGAACCTTTCTTTTAGCCTCTATTCATATGTCTGGCCAGCGGACATTAAGGTTTTCTATGGGAACCCTTCTCAGAGCTGACGACTCAGTAATTTGGCCTGCTTGGTTGCAACAAACTGGCCTTGCTTGAGGGCACAGGGAATAAGAAATTAGTGTCTAAATCCCAATGATGCTGCGCACAGCAAGTGCCTTTCGAGCAACATCAGACCCTAGTTTTGAAAATATTTCGACTGTATTGGATAATGCGCCCGTTGTTACGGTCCACTTAGGCGATCGGAGTGTGCGGCTTCAGAGCTGATCTTTTCTAACCAACTCTTTGAACAAGACAGCGTCACTGCTTCCATAAAAGTGGACATACAGGTCACTGGGGGAAGCACCTCACTCTCTTGATACTCCCATCGCAGGGGAAATTACATCCTCACCCTCAAGCCGCCTCGAAGCATGATTAATCGGAGTACTGGGTCTCTCTTGGTCCAACTTCTCCCATTTGGTCTTCCTGATGTGGTTGCACCATGTGGGACGAAGATCAAGCCACTGCAGCCTGCGAAATCGTTGCGTCACTCAAACCCGACCACCGCGTCAGGGTGGCAGCTTTAGGTTGGGGCATCATTTACTGATTACCTTGTATCCCTTTGGAAATCTATTCCTTCACAGGCGGCGCCAGTCTTCGCCATTTTTCGTTCCACCTTTCCCGGTGCGTCACCATTCACTGGATATGCGGCGATCGTGCTCTGCTTCTCTCCGCACTGACGGGCTAAGTCTCGATTGAGTAGCCGTCGTGATTAAGTCCATTTTGTCACTTCCAGGATATACGGGTGCTATCAAATTTGCTAAAATCACAGCACGATTGGTTGGTCTCGTTGTGAAACCCCATGGAGGTCAGCAGAAGCCTATTGACACTAATTTATGTATCATTACTTGGTGACAATCTACACGGTTTTTCAGGTTATCTTTAGAATTTCTGAAGTGTTGTGTTTTTTCTAATGGAAGACGGCATTCCAGAGACATCTTTGTAACATAAGTGGAGAGCCTAGTCTTCCGTTCTACTAACACAGGTAAACTGCAAATGCGGCACGGTGTCCATAGTTTTCTCTGTCGTTTATATGTCGACTGACCTGTTGTCAACAGTATCCAACTTTGTTTCAGCGGAATCTTGCTTTTACTGTCAGAATATGCTGCGTTTCAAAAGAGGAACAGACGCTTCTGAGTTTCAAATTGTTAATACTGGAGCCGCGACTCAGGTGGGTTTCACGACTTCCTAATCCTAATAGTGCAGTCTAAGAAACGCAAAAGTATCACTCGGAAACAGCGGGATTCGGTCACAGTTCCGCAGAGCTCTCCGAAGAAACTCCTAAAGCCTGTGTGGAATGATGAGGAGGATGTCGCTTCTACAGAATTTTCTCGGTAAACCTCCGTATCCATCCTGTAACGTTCTTCAGTCCACCAGCTGTTTTAGACGTAAGTGCATGCCTCAGGTTATCTGGCGATGTAGCTAATTCCGGCGCTTCATGCGAACTGAGTGATGATCAGCTGGTCTCGTGCACTACGAAAATCTTACGAGAGGAGAAATCTACGGGTCTTCCTTCCGGCAAAACCATCGCCATCCGGCGGGTTTTCGATGCGAATCGTGAGCGAATTTCAATGGGTGCCCTCAGTGCGGTTCATTTCAATCCACTGTATCAGATGTCTCTAACTGCTAGCGTTGACAGTACGCTGGCGTTCTTCAAAGTGCGTTACTCTTTGTGGTACAAATAATTTGTTTCCATCTCCAAATACTCATTTGTATACGAATTTAGTTATGACGAGAAACTCAACTGACTCTAGGCGAGTTTCGTTCACAGTGATACCGAGTTTGTTTAACTTCTGGACAAAGTTCTGCATCAGCAATGCGTGTCTGAAAATTCATCAGAAGGACACGAGTCCATAGTTTTTGAAAAGATACTGAACAACTTGCTTTTGGATAATTGGTAACTCAGTAGTCCTGATTAGGAATCAAACCTTTGACAGAAATGGAAGGCGCAGTCCCGATTATCCCCTACATATCTAAGGTGGTGTAGTACCTATAGAGATGTACTTTCTCCGCCCAGTGGTTCCACTGTACTCTGAACAGACAGCATTTTAGCCTTTGTTATTCACACTATACCTTACGCTTACATATGGGTCCTATTAGCTACGTAAAATGGCATGTGGCTGTTCCAGGTAAGACCAATTGAGGTTATGTATTCCTCGGCTTGTAGCAGTGACGTATCGGTGTTGAACACTGGTGTCATGCTGTCGATGATGATGATGCGGCTTGTAGCCAAGTTATAGCATGCGTAGACTGTATGTCAGGAAGCCAGCTCAAAGATCCAACAGCCACATCGGTCTTTAGGTGGAACTCGGCGGAGCTTGAGATGGCGTGGTGGTTAAAACGCTCCTGTCCAGGCTTGTGCAACCTGCAGGAATTTCTCAACATTTGTGTTTCCTTCGGGGACGTGGTAACTAGGCACCGGAAACGTGGTATGGCTGAACGACTCTTATTATATCTTTGAGGTGAAACCTTGACCATAAAATCATGTGTACAGTGGGATGAATGACAAATTGCTAAGGATCAAGAATATCGCTTTGCTATCCTGTAAGACATACCTGGATATACGTAGGTTAGCTGTGAGTTTGTATACAAGAGTCAAGTTATTTCAGGCTTTTTAATCATTTAACTACCCACAAAACTTCGTTCTTTCTCCCTCAATAGTCAACCACGACAAAGCAGCCAAATATTTCATCTTGGTTTTTGAGAACTACTTTTGGAATTTCAATATTGAAGTAACTGCAAATCCGCATAGTATTCCCACTTTATCTTTAATAGGTCCTGGGTTTAATTCGTGTAACTCGTGTAATCACTCGCTTCTATCTTAAATGTTTGAAGAATCAGGTATCTTTGTTTAATGGTAGCAATATCCATTGTCGAATTTGTTCAGCTCTAAGTTTGAACGCCAAGAAGCCTGTTTAAATAGTGTTTGTCCATTGGTATTCTGTCAGAGGCATCGCTCAAAATCAGCCCAACTGTATATAGCTATTCGTCAGCATATCCTCGGTCATGCATGCGTGGGAATTTGTTCTACTCGTCGGAGCAAAACGGGTCCATCCAGGTGAGAACGACATGAACCAATTCAACGAGCCCCATAACTACATGAGAATGACTGATCCCTGTTCGAAATAACCTCCATCTTTCCTGAAGTTCCAGAAAGCTCCTGAACCGTCGACTCTCATCGATTTCAGTAAGACCCCGTGCCATTTCAGCACGGGACAAGGAACCAACAAATCTTGTAAAAAACAAAACGCCTACCTCCTAGAATGGCCATTATGTCATTGTGTGAGGTGCAGAACGTTGCTCATCAGTAGCTTGACCGACTATCCTTCTAGGGTCCGTGAAGCAGTAAATTTTCTCAATAAGTTCCATAAAATCTCTAACAGCCTAGGTCTCACCCGCTCTATTACTTATATTCTTATTCTCCAATCCACTAGGTCGATGGTACAGAAAATGCTCTACTTCGAGACCGTGTGTTCGAAAAGTATCCCCTTTCTTCTGCCAAATTTACTACATCAGGTACACGTGTTGTGCTGACCGGAAACAGGAATTCCTTTCGAGTGAGTTCTTTTGCATCCCAGGTATTTAGTTAACCTTCCAATGTATGTGAAATCTGATCTCGAATAATGCCAACAGGCATGACCAGGTCAGAACAGAAATCTACCCCTGAAAATTGTTGGTTGTTTCATCAGTCAGTGATTGTGATGATGGTCGGATAGTACGTGTCCACTCCACTCCTTTACTCGGTTGTTAGTACGTGCAAACATTGTTTTGACTGTACCAGCAGAGCAACAATGCCTTCATCGTTTCGTTCGCTTGAGTCAGCTGAAATAACAAACTTATCATTTATTCCTGCGTTTATTGGAAGCAAAATTACGCACCTGTTCGAAGATGTTCGCCTTTACAAGGAATCAAGAGTTTTCCCTGTGTTTTCATCCACTGAAGTGGAGAAATACTGGTGGAAATGAAAAGACTATTCTTGGTGCAATTACAAGCAATGAATCAGCCGGGTATGTACGACAAATGGATACAGACGATCTTGGACACACTGGAAAACTTAAATACCACCGCCGAAAAGTTTTTGGAGTCCTTTCATCGACACTGCATATGACGGCAGTGTACTTGGTTACCAACAAAAACGTTCTTCCGAAAACGCATCCGCAACTAGCTTTCGCCAACCCAATGGAAGCTTCGCCCTGTTGGCTCACTGTGGTCAGGCTCGTGGAATCTAGAATGATCGTAGTCTATTTTCCGTTGATTATCATTTACCTGAGGAGGTTGAGAAATTTGTTATGCCCACACTTGTTAGTTGTTAAACGCGCTGTATTTGTTAACAACTATAAGAGACTAATCGTGAATCTGTCTCGTCCACTCCAGATCTATGACTTGGAGACCGGTGTGGAAACACGGGCGAGTCCTTTCATTGGGTCGCGTTCCGACGAAATTCTGGTGAATTGCGAAATGTCTTCTGGTCATCCTAATATCGTTGGTTTGGGCACGACAGACAAACAGGTCTACCTGGCTGATTTGAGGGTAAGGGTGCTCACTGACCGGAGCTTCGCAGCCCAACAATTTTTTGTTTGGTTTGACCTACTCACGAGTAGCTCGATCGATAGGAAGATGTAATGCATAATCACTACATGTGGTTGCATAATTAGTCGCTTCTGCACGCTTATTGTCGTCATATTATTTGCAGTCATGAAAACCAGTCACTTAATTTTCTTGGGACCACAAGTACTAATGTAGGTGTGGACAACTTGGGTCGGTGCCGCCTACTCACAGGACTCTGACGACTATTCCGTATTGGACTGACGGCCATCTGGAAGCATGCGGATCGGTTGGTTGATCGTGTTTTTCGCGGGCGTAAGCAGTAGCGAAACCACAAGCACACTTAGGTGCAAAAATAAAATTACTTCTTACCCCCACTAGGTTTTTTATGAGTTAAAGTGTCTGTTTTTGCGGTCCCTTTGAAGATATGCAAACCCATTATGGACTCTGGGTTTTCACCGTCAATTTTCAACTCATCCATAAATGGCAGTTTCGAAAGGAACTCGGTCCTGAACTACGTTATCATACTTCTGTCCTTGTTACTAAGGTACACGTGCTACGCGTATTCGCGTATTCGCATGTAGTCATTTGCATGTGTGGTCGAATTTAGACAGGTTTGCATTCCTTTTTGTGGATTAACCACCCATCGTCATATCCCAGTGACCACTTTTCAGAGTCTGGAGAAGGTGGCTGTACTACGGACGAAAGGGACGCTTCAGTCATTCACGTTCCTGGATGATGGGACTTTTGTTCATACCCTCGATGGTACGTTTATCCCCTCCCGAATTGATTTGTGATTTTGTTGTCTGTCCAAATCTAAATTGTACGCTTGTGCGAAAATGATCCTTTATAGTTTAGTTGACTACGTCCAATCCATAACAGCTATGTGGTACTGAACTTACATATTAAGCAATGCAATTTGTTCAATTCGAACATGTACTGTGATGTTTTTTTGGTCTTCTTCGGTTTTTGTCTGAAATATCCTTGTCTTATAACACTATAAATTTAACATTGAACTATGCCAATCAGGTTCTATTTTACTGTGTGTATTAGAGAAAACTCATGCGTCTGTAATTTCGGAGTGTTTTCAATCCTTTGGGTCAAATCCAATCATAGTTGAGTTCATGTACTACCGCTTTAATGCTCGTATGTTTAGACATACATCTGTATACCAGATGGGTGGCATATCCACTCAACTCTGATGTCTGGTCTACACACCTGGTTTGTCCTTTGCCATTCATCAAGTTATTCACAAAGAGATGAATTTACCCATCAAATTATAACCACTGTTATGAATCTTCAATGAATCTTCATATTTCAAAGCTTCCTGTATGAGCTGCCGTAAAAAGTTTGAAACGTATTTCTCCGTATCAGAAAATTTTCCGGAACTAGGGCCCGTTTTGTAGATTCAATTTTTTTCCAAGTCGATCACCTCTTTCTGTTGGAAGAACATGGAAAAGCTGGCCATCCTTAAATGATCATCTTGTGTACCAACGTCTTTTCATTTACATTTATGACCAGTTCTTGCCCACTGTTCTTTCAACCGAATGATCATAAAACTTAGACATGTTCACTTTTACCTCACTATGGAGTGCAGCCGCACTGTTTTTCAGTGTGTCGGAATACAGAAGGGTTCGAAGATGGGGATGACGATAACCTGGGACTCTTCAACAATATCTCGAAGTATAATTATGAAAAGTTAATTTTTAATCCCCCGAAGTTGTTTCGCATTGGTTTCGTAGATAACTTCTTGTGTTTCGAACCATTCCATTCGGCTATCACAGTCATCTTTTTGTAAGATTTTCTTACATAACGTACTAGGACTTCTCTCCTCGCTTCGCAATCTTTCATTGGCTGCCAATGCCGGATGTCCTATCTCGTAGATTACTTCTGGACGTGGACCGTTTAACAACTTAATACTAATGTTTTCTCAGCGAAACTGATCAGGTAACTCATGTAGGCTACATTGCAAATAATTTGCTTCGTACGTCATTGGACCTCCTGTCTCTCCAAGGTCCCTATAGTCCAGTCAGGCAACCAATAGCTCGTTAGTCTGTGCCTTGACAGTGGTGTATGAAGTCAACTATGTTGGAAAGTTCCTACTTTCTGGCTGCGAACCTCAGGACCAATGACTAGTGAAATGGGCGCAGGTGGTTGGATCACGCGGCGGATGTCGCCCCTACGTCAACGCTATCCCTATCCACCTTTCTCCCTGGTAAGAGGACAATGAGAACGTCCCTGACTTCACCAGGTCATCGGTTCCACTTTTCTGTGTTATCTGTCGAAGAATCTATAGCGCATGGTATCCCATAAAACTAACAACACGGGTTGTAGCTGAACTTGACTAACCGGATTAATGTATTTTCAGAGCAGAAATCCTCACTTCTATCTACAATCACTTTTTGGCATTGTATGCGTCAGATTAGGGAGCACATCTCGATCCCTTTTCTGTCAAGTATCATCCGAGAGGTGGTTAATGACGACTTAGCTGGTCCATGGCGAGCTGTGTTGTGGCGTGAGACATAGCCCTGGCAATAAGATTATTTTGCTTGTTTTCCGCGGGAGCGTACATACTCTTATCCATCCTTTCACGTCAAAGGATTATTCAACTAAGCAACTGAAAATTCTATCCATTCAATCACATGGCGACAT